CAAGTAGTAGCAGAGTTCATTCTGATCACACTTTTTAAGTGTATATTTTCTAATTATTCACATTTATACAGATATATACTGATTATTTATTAGATAATATTAAGATAATAACTCATTACAGCTGTGTATTCTCACTGTGAGAAATACATAATTAATAATGAATATTACAAAGACTCTGAGAAGTAAGTATTTTAAAAGTGCTGCAGCTCTGTGATCTTGATTTTTTTTATTTTTATTTTTTATTTTTTTCTTTTTCTTTTCTTTTTTTTTCTTTCTCTTTTTTCTTTCTCTTTTTTCTTTTTTTTTCTTTTTTTTTTTATTGTGATTTTTTCTTGTTGTTGTTTTGTGTTTTGTTTTTTTTATTTTTTTTTTATATTTTATATTTTTTTTTAATTAAAATGATATTAATTATAATCTGTATTCAGAAAAGTAATGATATTTAGTAATACTCTCTATTGAATTTTCAACAAATGAGCACTATGTTATAATATTATGTAAGTGAGAAATGATTTTATAATCTTATTTAATATTATTTTCAATAATAAGATCAGAATGAAAATGTGACTAAGAATTCAAATATATTCTTTATCTAAAACTAGATTTTTATTTGAGAAGTGAATCTGAAATCTTTAATATTTGAAATAATATAATTTGAAAGAAATGTGATGAATATAAATCTTAATCAGAAGTAATACTTTTAGACAATATAATAACTGTAAAGTTTAATTCTGGTCTCAGACACGGTCACACAGTCAGTCTAAGTGTACTTAGTGAGATTAAGTTTTCTACTTTCTGTTTTTTTCTTCAACTGAATACTAATTATATCATACTTACTCACTCTCTCTAGTAAGTGTGTCACAGTGTATGAAAAGTCACACTGTACAGAAAATATTTTAAATATATTAATCTTTAAAAATTAATTAATAATTATTACTATATCTATCTATAATATAAAGATTATCTATATACTTATTAAAAGGTGTAGAATTCACTGTAGATTGAAATTCTATAGAATTATTTTATTGTAATTAAGTAACTATAGATTTTATAGATTTGATTTCAATTAATTAAAGATTTCTATTAAACATCTTTTTCATCTCATCTGCTTTATAAATTGTAATTTTATAATTAATATTCTTAATAGTGAGAACTGTATCTACTTGTATCTATCTGTATAGACTGATCACTGAGATTATGAATTTTATATTTAGTTTCATTTAATCTGATCTTATACATTTCTTAGTATGAATTCTGCTGAGACTAGTCATTAAAAAAACATGTAAAGTGACTATATATCAGATCTTAAAATGAAATCATGACTTGAAAAAAATAAGAAAGTAATCTCATTTAGTTTTATTTAATTTCATTCTTAGTATAAAGTTACTATTTTTAGACATTTTAAGGTTTTTTTTGGACTATTTTTAATTTTTTAAAAAGTAACACTTTTTGATAATACTTAAATGAGATTTAAAGTCATTTAAAGCAATAAAAATAATTTAAATTAAGAAGTGAAAATTATAATCTTATTTGAAAAATGTGATAGTAAGTTTACTCTTACAGTGTGTATTTCATTCTGTCTGAATATCAGTGTGACTCAGTTGATAAGACTGATAATCAAGACTGTACACATTAAAGATGTGTGAGTTTGAATCTCATCACTGACATCTGTCACTTCTTACTCATAAAAGCTCTCATGTAATAGAGGCTGAGTCTAATTAGTAAGACTTAGTATGAGATAGAACTCTCTACTGTAAGTTAAGTCACTAGTTAAGTGAGATTCTGTGAACACTCATCAGAACAGATATAAGATGTCAATATTTCACTATTCTACTGTATATCTGTCAAGGTTCTAATGATACAGAGTCAAGTCTAATGTAGTGATTATATACTACTTAAGTAAGTCTCTAACTAGAACTGTCAGCAGAGCCTAGCTTCTTCTCAAATACAGGAAATGATTTTAAAAATCATCTGACTAGCAGGTCTAGATATACATCTAGACTCTAGACAGAGCACTCTGATAGACTAGAGCCTGTAAGCTCATCATCAATTCCTAATACTGACAGAGAGAACTGCAGTCATTAAGTCTATAATTAGTCTCTAATACAGAGTGAGGTCACAACAGCTGATTGATAGATCTATAAGCATCTAATGAGACTGAGATCAGCAATCAGAAGCTTGATGTGTACATTATCAAGTGAGTGATAACAGTCACTAACTAATGTCTCTGAAAATTAGTGACTGGTCTGAGAGAACAGACACAGTGATTAGTTAATTATAGAGAGTTAAATATAATTAGCTTAAGATGCATTCTGCAGATGACTAGCACTCATAGTCTTATAAAAGAGAAAATAGTTTGAAAGAGACATGAATATTCTCTGATAGTGAAGATACTTTAAAAAGACTTAGAAATAGTCAGATTTATAATGATTAAATGAATCTTGAACTGATCTTAAACTCTGTTTTAAAAATTCAAAAGAGAAGAATATCAAAGCTGATAATTTCTATACACTGAGTTCCTGCTCATATAAATATTCATGATAATGAATTGGCTGATTCAGCTATAAAAAAAGGTTCAAAACTAAGCAGATCTATTCAAAAAATTGTGTTCTAATCTTTTATAAAGAGAAAAATAAAAGAATCTTGTTTAGACAAGTGAAATGAAAGCTGACAGAAATAAAAGAAGAGTATATATTATTCAAGATTTGAAATAAAACTCAAGTGAAAATCTTGTTTAATTAAATATAAAAAGAAAATATTCTCATCTATAATACAGCTAAAACTAGAATATGACTATTTTAAATCTTATATACAAAGATTTAATGATAGATTTGATTCAATAGAATGCTTATTCTACAATACAAATAAGAATTCTAAGTATATTGTAATATACTATGCATTATACAATAGTCTCAGAGTCAGATTGAAGGAGAAGTATAATCTAAATCAATTAAATATAAGATTCTTATTCTCAACTGAGACAGGAATTAAATACTTAATAGACTTTCTATCAGAAACTCAAGCAGCTACAAGAAAATGACTGAATTCAGAAATATCTGAATATGAAGAGGAGAAAATTGATCAGATATAGTCTGTTAAAACAGCTATATACTATCTTTTAAGAATCTATTTTATTACAGTCTCTCTTTATTTTACTTTATTTTTTTCTTTCTATTCTTTTCTATCTATCTATTTAATGTGTCTATCTTTAAGACTGTATTCTCTTTTCTTTTGTCATGATATTGTCAAATGATTTCAAAGTATCAGAAGATGTTAAAACACTGTAATTTATAAACAGTTTTTATATTCTGAGCTGAAATTTTCTGATTTTGCATATCTGAAATTAATGAATGTATAATAGTTATCTTTATAGATATAGGAAAAACTCTGAGAACTTTTAATTCTCAGGTAGATATCATAGTCTCTGACTGCATACATTTATAATTGAAGAATAATAATAATAATAATAATTCTGTCTGAATTATACTACTTTTAAAGATCTTGTTTAACTGTCTTATTAAATCAGATATAAGAGTATTCTTCACATCTTCTAAAATCTTAACTACTGTATTAATTTAATAACATAGTTTTATAACTGTCTCTGAAGAGATTAATTATGAGAAGATAGTTAACAGTTAATCTGCAGATAATAAGATAAAGTAATTACATATATTATTATCATTATTATATACATTGAGATTCAGAGTATCATCAATAATAAGAGATCTTAATAAATTGAGAATTATATTGTGATTAACTGAATACATTCTGCAGTCAGTAAAGTCAGCTCTTATAGTACTAGGTTTAAATACTTGCAGTTAAACTAGCTGCTGAGATCATAAATTTCACATTTGATTTCATTTGATCTGGTCTCATACATTTCTTGGTGTGAATCCTGCTGAGACTAGTTATTAAAAAAACATACAAAGTGACTATATATGAGATCTTAAAATGAAATCATGACTTGAAAAAAATGAGAAAGTAATCTCATTTAATCTCATTTAATTTAATTCTTAGTATAAAGTTACTATTTTTAGACATTTTAAGGTTTTTTTAGACTATTTTTAATTTTTAAAAAGTAATGCTTTTTGATAACACTTAAATGAGATTTAAAGTCATTTAAAGTAATAAAAATAATTTAAATTGAGAAGTGAAAATCATAATCTTATTTGAAAAATGTAATAAGAGTAGACAGTAAGTCTCACTGAGACAGTATAAGACTACTATCTAATGTTAAAACCATGTAATGAGATTGGTTGAATTGATAATAAGACTATTAAAAAATCTGATTCTGATCTCAAACACAGTTACATAGTCAGTCTACTTACAGTCAGACACTCTTCAGATTAGTAAGAAATTATCTGTTATTATACTACTTATATCTATAGCAGACAGTCTTATTAATAATATTTAACTGATGAATTCATATCTTAATTATTTCTTTCTAACTGTCATTCAATGCTTGATTTAGTGAAATTCTTATAGTTCTTGATTTCTTTCTGTTAATTCCTTTATATAAGATAGTATATGAGACTTTGAATTATTATAACAGAGATGTAATTTTTAATTTTGAATTACTTTTATACATATCAATAGCTCTTTGCAACTGCTTCTCAGTGTAATTAGAAGATTTAGACATGATTATAATTAATGATGATTATTTGAAGATGAAGAATGAAGATATTGAAAATATTTTCTGTACAGTGTGGTTTTCTGTACACTGTGGCACACTCACTAGAGAGAGTGAGTAAGCATGGCACGGTTAAGTTGAACTCCGTTGTTCTTCAACAGCAATGCGGATGCACTTGGTGATTTGCAGAGAAATCAGGATTCGAAACTAGTTATTCGATGTCCGTTGCAGAGTTAGCTCGCTATTGTTATGATGTTCTTAGATTAAATTTGTTACCCAGAAGCAAGTCAATTCTACTCGCAGCAAGGGGTTATTAGCTCGCCATCTGAGTTTTATCCTGCGCTGGGTGATGGAAGCGTAGAACCGATGCCAATCAGAAGAGTCTGCCACTAAGGTATACTGCCCTTGCAAGGATCCGGCAGGACATTACAGATTCGTGGACCCAGAGTTCCAATTGAACAATGCAATTAGCGGCAGATGAGGCTTCGTTACCTGATACTAAGCCTTGGGGTTCGGCAACGTACGTCCCAGGGATCATGAGGTGGAAGTTTGGCTGGTGAAGCTCCTCCGGCACTATTGAGTTGCCAGGGAATGGTTTGGATGTGAGGCTCCTTCTCTGCTCTGAGGTGCCAATAACCCACTCGACGCGGCGTTGTGTCCCTGTTGCTAGGGCCGCATCCAATAACTCTTTCACCAAGTCAGCCTTGATGATTTGAAAAGTTATCTTGGGCGTTGCCAGTGAACCAATGAACATTCGTGATCTAGCGCTGCCGCAACCTCAGCATACGATACATCAAGCATATTGTGGACATATTGCTTGCGAAAACAGAATTTTCCCAGCCCCCCCTGAAAATTAGTAGCAAAACACCACAAAAAAATCAAAATATCCACATTTCGCTAGAATCATTCAATATCATCCAATATGCGTCTTTTTCAATCAAATATCATCCAAATACGCGTCTTTCCTACCTTTATCATCAAATCCACATATATCAATCAACCCTTTTTTCAATATGCCTTGCAACGCCCGCCGTCCTGCTGCTTCGCAAGCCCATACAAAGACTCCTACACTGTGCCTCAGTCTCCCCAAACTACCTGTTCCAGAAGTTCCAGATAATGGAGAGGATCCGGTCAATGATGAGATGGAGGAGCAGGTGGATGAGAAGGATATAGAGACTCAGTCTGAGGATCCTATATCTGTGAATCCCTACCCCTGTATCGCGATGTGTCCATAGCCACCCTCGCGACAACTCATCCGCAAAGCAGTCTAACAGTGGTAGATACAACATCTCTCTAGCTATGCTACTATCTCATATGATGCACTTGACAATCCCTTTGCTCAAGGTGCTTTTCGCTAGGGTTGCTAAGGGGAAATAATACACTTCAAGCCCGCGCAGTGGCCAAGCATATGTCATTAAGTGGTTTAAGACAGGCGCAGTCTTCTGGGCGATTATTTCACCCTTGACATTAAGGCGATTGATAAGGCGTTGGATTTTGTTAACAGGTTCAAACAGTTTGACATTATTACTAAAGTTGTTAAAATCAACATCGCCGCTGTCTGGGTCTTTGAAGACAACGCCTCTGATGAGTGGGCTGACCAGAACCATCTGTGTGAGTCTTTTATCCAGAATTACCAAAAGTTCAACAGCAACAGTGGGTGGAATGATGACTCACAAGGATGGGGGGAAGTAATGCAAGCCCTGAGCCACTTTAGTTACCATCTTTCTGTGGGAACTATGTTCTCTGCGACCTCCAAGGCGGCGTCTACCAGCATGAGGTTGTCCTCTCTGACCCTGTCATTTTAGCGTGGAATCAGGAGTATGGTGTCACTAATCTAGGCTCTGATGGGATCAGCTCCTTCTTCAGCCAGCACAAATGCAACAACTACTGTCATCCCACTTGGACACAGCCTGCTCGCCGGGTTCAGCATTTCCGCCCAGTGCCAGGTACAACCATGATTCAACGGTTGGTTTCTACGCACTATTCCCGCCTGGCTAGAACGAGATATTTCGGCTGATGAAAGAGCATTCCAGAGAGTGCAAGTTGGAGAGATTATGAAGCCAGCGTCGGAGGGGCAGAAAGGGGATCCACTGCGCTGGGCAGAATCAACAGACAAGAAGCGTGAAGCAGCAAATCTGGACTAGACAGATCATCAGCATGACAATTGTTGGTATCGCAGGAAATAAGTGCTGTCAGATCAGCATCACGAAAATCTGTATGAACCTTGCTTGATGTTTCTATGGTCAAAAATTATTTAGATGTGGCAATTGAACACAGGCCCGCTCTCTGTGTAGAAACAGCAGCCCAGTTACCGCCCACAGAGCCACAACAAGCAAACAAGTGTCTTAATAGCATATCACTATCACCATTCCCCGTACTGCCAGCGACCCCGTCAGGTAAAGTCGCACAGATGGAACCAGCGTCCATTCGGAATTAGAAGGGCTGATCATCTCTGCCCTCAAGAAGAAGATCGACCATCCCATCAAGGGCTACCGATATCTGTTCCGCACTGATCACATTATTCTCCACGAGTCTTTGCAATGCCTCCCCAACCCAGTTTTGACAATTCCAATCGTCCAAGTTGTTGTTGACGGGGACTTGCGCAACAAGTGCCTAAAGCGTATCAAGAGACTGTGGAGTCGCGCCCACGATGACCCGACTAGCTAAGGTTGAGCTAGTTAGAGGGTTATAACCCTAAAGGATCTTGACGCGGAAGTTTCTGACAGGGCTAGTTGCATGGACCACGGTACTGGTGGTCGTGTCTGTCTGGAAGAAGATAGAAGTGTGGCGGGTGGGAGTCATTTCCATCAGTGTCGGAATGGGTGTCACGGATGAATATGTTGGAGACATATGAATCTTATGTGTATCAAGATCTGCTTGTTATATTATCCGTGCACTATCTATTATATCTATTTCATACAAAAGATAGAGCTATTTATAGTAAAACTAATGTGCGAGCCAAGAGAGCTAGCATAAGCGAGTATTAGACAAGCATTGTAGTAAGCTGATAATGATGAGAAATATTGTAGTAATACAATGTTAATAGCATTCAGTAGTGTATAACCTCTTTTTCCTGACACACCCTCTTCAGCAAATGTAACATGTAAAAGAATGTGTAAATGAAGCTGCATGAAAATAATCAAAAAAGAGTGTAGATGAATCTGTAGAGATTACATCAAGATAGACTATAATTAAAAAGAAGTGTAGATAAATCTGTAAAGATTATATTAAGATAGATTATTTATATCATTATTCTACTTACATCTTGATGATATCTGATATATCAATAAGGCCTAGTATCTTGACAAATTCTGTATATTTCTAGCATAGCAGAGTCTTAGTAAGATTATTCACTAATGTCTGAGCTGTAGGCACTCAATCAACTGTAATATCACTGAATTGAATACATTCTCAGAGTCAGCTTTCATATATATCAATATAATAAAGCTTCATGATTATAGAGAGATGTG